GGGGGGGGGGGGGGGGAACGACACTAAATGTATTAGCTAACATACAAAACAAAATATGTGCCGACTCTAGGAGTGAAGCATTCTCTCATACATATTGGAATCCTGTGTTTTAGAATATGTTTCTGTGTAATAGCGCTTAGTCTATATAGTTGGCCGGGGACAGAGTTGTTATTGAGAGTTTATAAGAAACTTTCACAGCAAATTCAGAAAATAAAAACTTTATAATTAGTTCCATATCACATCTAGGCTAACCTTAAGCAACAATGTTTAGATCTGCTTGTGAGTATGAAAAGTTTTTAGATGTTAGTGGAAAAGGACTTCTGCTACTCACTGTTAATAACACCTCAATACTATATAAATGTTCATCTCTCTTCCACATGTTTCCCCAGCATTCCAGAATTTTCTTTATTATCTGCTTGGTCTTGATAGAACCTTAACAAAAACAAGTTAAAATCTGGTTGTCTTTGGTATTCTCTATGCCATAACCCAGTTTAACTGATACATTTTTAACTTGGAGATGAAAGGCTATAACACCTATTTGAATTTAGAATTGCATTAACATTGTTTCAGTGTCACAGGCACAGTAAAAACAAAAAAGCAAAAAAACAAACAAAACAAAAATAGAAATGAATGATTTAGAAAAAGTGGCAATTGGGGGAAAAAACCTGAAAGAAGAAAATAAGGAAATTAAAAATTAGGAAGAAGAAAAGTGTTCTTTAGTTTTGATTTAGCAAATTATTCTTGTACTGTTTTCCAGCGTTTCTTCACTTTTGGTGATTTTTATATATTACATTTTAAACTAAGATGCTGAGTCAAAATAATTTTAGTTTTATTCAAACACTATGACTCATTTATACTCTATATAGTGCATCAAATCTGGGGCCTGTAATCTCACAGGCATTTCTTGACTACATTCTGTGATTCAGGCACTGCATGAAGGTGAATGGAACATCTACCCTGAGGTCAGAGGCTAATGTATTAGTAAAGATGCTCTCAGAGGAGTGAGAAATATTTTTCCCAGAGATTTGCGAAATGTCATGTTAACTTAGAATTTCTTTTCTTAAAGATGGTGGTGGTGGTAGTAGTGGGTTTTAGGGAAAAAACTGAGGTGAAGTGGAAAATACACAGCATAAGTGTGTTAAGTCACTTCAGTCCTGTCCGACTCTTTGTGATCCTCTGGATTGTAGCCCACCAGGCTTCTCTGTCCATGGGACTCTCCAGGCAAAAATACTAGAGTGGGTTGCCATTTCTTTGTCCAGGGGATCTTCCTGGCCCAGGGATCAAACCTGTGCCTTAGTCTCTTGCATTGGCAGGCAGGTTCTTTACCAACAACCCCAGCTGGGAAGCCCAATATAAGTTTGGCTGTGGCTTAAAATTAGCTTTCCTGATGGCTCAGAAGGTAAAGAATCTACCTTCAATGCAGGAGACCCACTTTGATCCCTGGAATGGGAAGATCCCCTGGAGAAGGGAATGACTGGCTACCTACTCCAGTATCCTTGCCTGCAGAATTCGTGGACAGAGGAGCCTGGTGGGCTACAGTCCATGGGGTCACGAAGAGTAGGACACGATTGAGTGACTTAACACTTTGAACAGTTTATGGTTTAAAATTAGTATTTTATGTGTGCCTGAGATTCTTAAAATACTGATAAATGTTACCCAACAATAGTTGACAAAAGTAAAATCTCACAGTAGGGTTTGTCTTATCCATATGCTCTTTCTAGGGCCTTACAGTATTGCCTGGCACATTGTGGTAGTTAGATGGCTACATCTGATAGATGAATGAATAAAAGCCATTTTTCACTTTGAAATTAAAACTTGAATTGAGTATATAGCTTTTTTCCTTAAAAAATATCTGTATCAGAAAACTTAAGACTGAATTATTAATGTTTTTTAATGCCAGTAGTTTTTGCCTTAAAAATAAAGCAGTGACATTTTACATAAAACAGTGGGGAATTATTTAAGTGATCAAATTTTCTGAAGTAGATCTTTAGTAATTCCTTAACTAGGTCTTTGATCATTTTGAAATCTCTGATGTAAATGACCATGTCTCTGAAAATCATCGCATTGTACAAGGCTAATTGAAATGCCCTGAAATGTTTTGTAACACTCAAAATCAACAGTAAAAAATACCACTGATTTCTAGCTCTGTTTTTTTATTGATCAGTTATGATTGTTCAAATTTCATTTTAAACCAATTTATTTAGAGGTGATGACTTCAAAATTGCCTCCATTTTCAATTAATAAGTCAGTGGTATGGTAGGCTGTTAATCTCTTGGAGGTTTATTAGAAAGTTAATACTGGAATTAAAACCACACAATCTTTCTCTTATTGGCCATACATGGTATCATTCCCAAACAAATTCTTAAGAATTCTTTGTTCAGAAGGCTGGGCAGTTAAAAACATCTGAGACTTGTTTTTGGTGCCATGATGCTTAGCTGGGATGTCACATACATTCATGAGATGATGGCAGTACTTCACAGGGCACTTTCTGTTGAAATACTAATGGTCTTTCCTGAGATCCTGAAAGAAGAATAAGATTTTGGTAGTTGGAGAGTAGATGGGAAAGATGTTTTAGTTATAGAAGAAACAGCCTGTGAAACGATTAGTAGTTGGGCAAAGAGTGAGCATGTGATTGTAGACAAGTTTGAAGAGTGGGGCATAAGATGAGAAGGTGTTTCCTTCAAACACTGACTGACTTAAAAGTTGATGCAGTTAAGGTTGATATCACACCCAAATTGACATCAGCATCACTGGGGAATTTTCAGAGTTTGGTCTACTTAAACTCATATTTTACAGATGAGGAAACACTGACTGTGTGAGACCACTTCAGTAGTGGCAGGATAGGACTTGTTGGTAATGATATTTTTATATTGAATAGCGTATGGTTTTTTCCCCAAAATTTATTTG